CCGGGCCGCCCCCTCTAACTGAGGCGAGCAGCATGGTTGGTGGCATCAAATCCAGTGAAGACGAAGCGGCAAAGGAACTGTCCGGCCTTTCCTGACCATGCTTGGCTTCAGGCGACCGCCAACGTGCCGTGACGACAAAAAACGCGATGTGACGAGCACGCTCTCCCATTCAGCCTGCACGACGCCGCGGTGCGAGCTCCACTTCAGCTGCCTGTGCCACACGGTTGAAGGCAAAGATTGGTGTCTATCTGCATGCTGAAGACGGCGCTGATGAACATGGTGCTGTGCCACTGGGCAAGGCAACGAAAAGAACGGTAACTGCAATCTGATCTGCAACGATGCTAACGCCCTGTAGGCAGGACACCACAGCGTTTCGTTTGCTGTAGGTAGTTGCAATGCATGGTCCCACTACTTAACGGCCGGTCGGACTCGCTGCAAAATACGGCTGAGACCATGAAGCAAGCTGCAAGCTACCCCCCGCCCCTTCCCCGGCAGGGAGGGAGAGACGGAGAGTCCATGGACCTGAAATTGTTGTGTCCACAACTTCGACCACGAAGCAAAAGCCGCCCTGAGCACTTGCATACCACATACCCAGAATCGGATCACCGACAGGTTTTCAAAAAGCATCGCCAGAGCAACGTGAAGGAAATGCAATGCAGAGAAATTCTGCCGAACTTGTTACACCTTGCAGCCGTTTTCGGGATCGCGTGTGTGACAATGTCGCAAGGCTCCGTTTCGACGTCGTATCGACATGCTGGGCCTGCGAGAACGTGCGTTTGATCATTGTCAAGGTCCGGTGAAATCCTGGAGGCCTGCAAAGCCAGCGTATGCAGCGGCACCGCCGGAAACTAGACCAGCCGGGGTTTGAGCATCATGTCTCCGTGAATTGGAGCTGATAGGTGATGTCTTTGGGCCAGCCGGCGTTTGAGCATCATGTCTCCGTGAATTGGAGCTGATAGGTGATGTCTTTGGGCTTTGGCCGCAGTGCTTGCTTTTTGCGCCGGCTGGACCAGCCGGCGTTTGAGCATCATGTCTCCCTGAATTGGAGCTGATAGGTGATGTCTTTGGGCTTTGGCCGCAGTGCTTGCTTTTTACGCCGGCTGGACCAGCCGGCGTTTGAGCATCATGTCTCCCTGAATTGGAGCTGATAGGTGATGTCTTTGGGCTTTGGCCGCATGCTTCTTTTTTGGGCTTTGGCCGCTGATAGGTGATGTCTTTGGGCTTTGGCCGCAGTGCTTGCTTTTTACGCCGGCTGGACCAGCCGGCGTTTGAGCATCATGTCTCCCTGAATTGGAGCTGATAGGTGATGTCTTTGGGCTTTGGCCGCAGTGCTTGCTTTTTGCGCCGGCTGGACCAGCCGGCGTTTGAGCATCATGTCTCCCTGAATTGGAGCTGATAGGTGATGTCTTTGGGCTTTGGCCGCAGGGCTTGCTTTTTTATGCAAGCGGTTGGGGGTTTGGAACTTGCATCTTTGGAGATCAACGAGTCAAGCGGTTTTCAAGCACGCATTTATTTAAACAATTGGCTTCCCTTCAACCGCACTTTGTCCCATTGTCTTGGCGAAACACTGCCGGGGCAAATGAGAATTATGTGCAGTCGAAGTCGCTCGCGAGCATGACATGGGACCGGACCGATGTGTTTTGCATCTGACTGATCTTATGTGTTCGGCAAGGCTTCTTGATTGAAATCCCCGTAGGCTCGAGGACACTGCAGCATTTGCTGACGACGGTTTGCGATTTAGTTTCAGGAAACCTGAAGGGGCTTCTGATTCTGTTGCGGTGAAGATAGTTGTCATGGAAGTCTTGGCGATGCCACACAGTAGACCTTCTCACTGAATATCTTCTTAAGTCGGACGACGTGTTAGCCAAATGATGCCAAAAGCCAAAAGCTAGGCAGAGTGTTCGCATTTTGTTCGACGTGCGAAGCTGCGCCCGGCCGGCGTCCACCAAAAGCGGGGTCGGCACCCGGGAGCGCACTTCTGCACCCCTCCCCCGCTTCGACGAGTGCTGGCCGGATCTGTAGATTGTAGAAACCAGGGTGGGAAGTCGAAGTTTGTGCTATCCTGAACATTAAGCATGACACTAACGGCTCTTTAGCCAAACGCTAAGCACGGTGTCCGCTTTGTGGTCGAAGATGTTCTGCTTATTTACAACCCTATTCCGGATGCCTGGGGCGGAGGTGGCAATGGTGGCACCGGCCTGACTCGCGCTAGCATGCTGACATCACGAACAAAGACGCGCCCACCGGCACAAAGCCTTTTCGTCACGACATGCTACATGTCTGGAACGGTGAAGCAAGCGCCCCTGTCTGTGCTGGTCTATGGCCAAACAGTGTTGAATCAGCTGTGACATTCGAGGGCCCCTGTGCCTCTCAAGCCCAGGTGGCAATGTTGGGGCGTCGAATGGCGCCGGCACAGGCCTCGAGAGTGGCTTCGAACTCCGCGGTAAAATGCGGACCAGGCGACGTCAGGGTAAGAGCGGCAGACTGCACACCAGTCTGCAGGTTGCAAGCCGTCCAAGTAAAAAGACAAAACGTGCCCTCGCCAAGCAAAGCTGAAACCTCTGCACCAAGGCGCCAGGATGGAGTGGAGAAGGTTGGAGAGAACGGTGCTGGCCTGCATGTCAGCAATTGCGGCCAGGCGTAATGGACGGAGGAAGGCGGATCAGGCCACTTGGCAAGAGGAAAGATCGAAGAGATCTATTGCACGGTGTGCAGATGTGTGCACACGAATGCAACGGTGCCGTTAGAAACGGAGTCGGTGCGAGTGTCCCTACTTGCGGTGATTGCCAAGTTACTTGCACCGCCATGCTGTGTGCAGCATCCTGCCTCACTTCTGGTGTAGTGCTCAAACAAGTGAATCGTCCTGCACGTGCCTGGCACCAGCAGTGCGGCTAAGGGCCCGGGCTCGGGGCTTCGGCAAGTGGCCTCGGAGGCTGCCCAAGCCGCGAGAGCAGGCAGGCTGGAGCTGACGCAGTGCCTGAGTGAAGAAGAAGAAGAAGCAGAACGTCAAAACTCAAAAAGACTCGTTGCATGTGGTCTTCAGCTCAGCACCCGGCTCGCGGGTTGCATCTGTGCTGACTTCAGGGCTCTTGGACCCAGCCTTTGTGTTCACATGCATCGGTGATGACGACGACGGAGCAGCCGTCTCCTCCCACAACTGCCGAGCTTGCTCTGAGCAGGCTGGGTGCAGCAGGGTCCATGAGTTTACAATTTAACTAGTTTAGTCTAGGAAATCTGCAAAATCGTACCCGCATGCTCATGCGGAATACGAATTTCGGCATTCGCAGGCAATGCCGCAATGCCGCAGGTGGCAGGACGTTTGATCAGCCAGCCCCGTAGGCCCTTTCCAAACATCATCTCAAGGTATTTGAAGTCCTTCCAGCACGTGGGGATCGGCACCTCGCAAATTAGCCGGGGTTCCACATTCTGGGCACAGATTGTTCATGCTTGTTGCTTGACAAGATCTAGCAGAATGCAGATATTTTGATGTCCATCTAAGCAAGGTGCCAAGCTTGAACCCCTTGACTGATAGAAAGCCCTCTGACGCATTTCACACGCAGAGATAGGCACAAAACCAGATGCTCCAGTCGAAAAGTATGCAGTTCTGACGTCACGCCGAGAATTCAAAACCTGTTCAAAACCTGTGACTCTTGGGCATGCAGCATTAGCCGACACTCTCGACTCCGGAACAGTCCTCATTTCTTAAACACATTTTGACCCAGGTTTTTTAGGATTAAGCTCTCGAGCTGGCCAAGGCCATATTGCACGGGGCACATTCCTCTCCACAGTTGAGTAAATCCAGCAGCAAAAGGAGAAGAACTGTGATAACAAAAGAAAAATGAGGTGAAGCAGAGAGGAAGCGCAGAGTGGGAAGGGGGATGGCCGAGACAAAGAGGCGGAGCCCTGAAAACATGAGTAAAGCAAAAAGCACAGACGAACTCCAGCGTGTCCGAGACATGTCTGAATGCCTTCATGGGCAGCAGATCCCGCCAAGGAGTGCGAGGTGAATCAGATATTGAGGTAGCGGAACTGCCTTGGCGACATGAGTGCAGCCAGTTAAGGCCGTGGCCACGATATGCATCTGCTAACGTTTTGGCAGCGTCCGATAAGCAAATGGTCATCCACGTTCTACAGCACCCGTGAGCCGCAGTGCGAACAGCGACAGGCCCGGGTCTGACTGCAGGCATGTCTCTGCACATTGGCGTAACTTCTTCATGCGAAACCACAACCTCATCTGTCGTTGTGCTCGGCGTCGACCTGGCACGGTCAGGAAAGATGCTACAGTCTGCCCGCCGACTGGAGCACCAGCCTGTCATGAAGCTGCCCGTAAACAAGGCACTTCTTGGGTCGAGTAGCTCCATGTCTTCCAGCTTGATCACATCGTAAGACTTCTTTTCATGTGGCTTTGACTTTCCTGCGCAATATTTCAGAGGACGTCAGGTCCCCCAAGCTCTGTAGATTCCGAACCCCGTCACGGCACTTCTCAGACGTCTACAACTGACGGTCCAAAAGCTCCCAGCAGGCAAGGGGGTTGGTTGACCAACTCATCGACGAACTCATCCAACTTAGCCTCCAGACCTTACAAAGTGTCACACCCTCATTTCTACTTCTATTCACTCAGTACAACAAGAAGATGATGCGCTTGCAATTGCCAACGAGACACTAAAAGGAAGCGCCATGACGAACGATTCACGTTTCCTGGGCTGCACTGACAGCAAGGAGGCACGGTCCGACACTAGTGGTTGGCATATGTGCTCATGAATTCGGTGAGTGCACACAACAAGATACCCCCAATTGATTCAAGGTTTCAGGCAGGAGAGCGGGCACCTTGCTGCGAACGCTAAATGCGCAAGCCAAATGCTGCAGCGAGCCAGATTCCGCTGATGTAGGCAACATAGGAATACTGTAGCCTAGCAACCGCATGGACTGCAAAAAACACGAGACCCGGAGGCAATAAATGCGTTTTCTTAGTACAGCTTGGGTCTGGAATGGTCCGGATACTACACCAATTCTGAGCACGAACCCATGACGGCTAGACAGCTAAACCCACCGTCTCCAAAAAATGCAGGGTACAATAGCTGACGCTTCCGCCTGGGATGGATCAGCTTGTGTTCCAGAACTGACCAATGCTGGTTCTCGATATCGTAAAGCTCTACCTGAGGATTCCAGCCAAGATCGGAAAATGCGGTGTGCGCCGGGTTCAAACCGAGATCCTGGCTGTGGGCTGGGTCTCAGCACGCCCGAAGACGTCATCACAACCACCAATGGCTGTCAGCACCCTGGAGCCTGCGGAGCCGACTCTGCTCCCCCACACGCACCCCGGACTCATCCCGAATGCGATGGGAACTGTGGAGTCTGCTGATGTCTGCTGGGTACTTTCCATCTCGTCCCCGCGTAATTCGGGAGACTCACATTGAAAACACATGCAGCATAGGTGTCTCGAGTCATGTGTAGGAGTAGTACCAGGTGCGCCAATCGTAACATGATCGCAATACACCTCACATCACAGTGCACAAGTTCCCGACAGGTGATCCAACTTGTGTCACAGACAGACTGAGACACCGAGGCCCAGCCTAGGGCGACCACTCGAGTTCCGGATCTCGCGATCTGCAAGGGTGCTGTTGGTATCCACCTGAGCCCCCAAAACTGGTTGCAACAAAATCCCACAAAATAACACGTGCAGAGGTTCCAAGAGAAGGGATTTGTCGACGCTTGGATGTTTCACACAATGAACGCCTCAAGTCTGGTAGAATACAGACTCTGCAAGACATTCGCAATGCCGTTACGACAGCTGTCATTCCAGCTGGCACGACTATGTTGACCGGAACGATCACTCGGATGTCAGCCTCGGCCGAAACGTCCTCCTGCGGTCACGCCTTCTTTCCCGTCGCTGTTACTGCATTGTCTGCGGTGCCCTTTCCTATCCTTTACCCGCGCTTCTCTTCTCTTTCGTTTAACCGTTTAGTCAAGTTTAGTCCCCTTTCCTGTATATCGCGCCAGAACAGCTTTCGGGGATACAGTTTCAAGATGGGGCACGGTATATTTGGAACAGGCAAGCGAATTTTCTGAAGTCTCAACTTCTCAGTTGCACACCGATTCTCCTTGGGAAGGTAGATCTCACACTGCCGCAGCGTCTCCATGAAGGACTGCGCAACAAAATGGCTTTCATCGTGCCATGCATTACCATGCCATGCTGTCTTAAGAGACGAAGCGTGAGCGAGGGAATCCTCCTGAAGGGGCGCATCAAGCTGCAGCGAACATCCGCCGACAACATAGACCTGCAGACGTTCAATGCTTACTGCTTCGGTTACAACTTGCCATCAAAAAGACACTCGCGATGTAGGCCTTGCCCTGCAGTGATGCACAGCCATGGCCCCATCGCGCTCGAGCAAGTGGCGCAGCTCCGTCCTGCTCTGAATCTGGTGTTTCAAATTTCGAACGCTTCTGCTTTCTGCAAGTCCTCTATCCAGGTGCCCGCCAACGGGTCGAAGATGTCGCAACTGGCCAGGAGACCCTCTGCGATGCCGCGTTCGTTGTACCTGCTTTCTTGGCTAAGGGCTGACGCTTCGTCACTCAAGACAGAACAAGATGTTGAGGATCTTAAGAGGACTGCCTCAGTGCTCATTCAAACATACTGGGGACCTTAAGCGTGCCGACAATGGGGACCGGACCCACCGATGATCATCATGCGCCCATCGTCAAGAAGGGCAGCTGCACTGCCGGCACGACGCTTGGGCATTGGCGGTCCACGAACCTGGAATACATAATGCTTGCAGCTGCAATCCGTGGATACGGTATGATTGTATACGAGGAAAGAGAGAGAGAGAGAGAGAGAGAGAGAGAGAGAGAGGCAGAGACAGAGACAGAGACAGAGACAGAGACAGAGACAGAGACAGAGACAGAGACAGAGACAGAGAGAGAGAGAGAGAGAGCGAGAGAGAGAGAGAGAGAGAGAGACAGAGCGAGAGAGGGACAGAGGCAGAAAGACACAGACAAGCACAGACAGACACAGACAGACACAGTCAGACAGACACAGACAGACACAGAGACAGACACAGAGACAGACAGAGACAGACAGAGACAGACAGAGACAGACAGAGACAGACAGATAGACAGACAGATAGACAGACAGAGCGGGCACATACGTGTATGCATGTCGCATGTACATACTGCAAGTACACGTACACGCGCACACGCACATACACATGCATAAACATAAACACATATGCGATCTACGTGCACATTTCCTTACATACGTACATACATTCATACATACATACATATACATACATTGACATATACATACATATACATACCTGCACACATACGTACTTAAGTCGCTCCATACGTAGGTGTGTACGTACACATACATACCAACATGCATGCATGTATGTACTTATGCATGTACGTGTGTATGTATGTGTGTGGGTATGTGTATATGTATAGGTGTCTTCGACTGTCTTTGTATGTGTAGAAGCAGATGTGGATGTAGATACATAACCATATTTAGCCTTATAAGGACGGGTTAATACGTGGTATATGATCTGCAGAATATATAAATAATATACAGATGAGTATGTGTGTGTGTGTTTGTATGTATATTTATGACATGCATAAAATGTGCATAACTTAATAGCGGCGCTAGCTGCTAGCTTTTAACTACTGGTACACCGTCTTCTGCGACATATGCAAAGGTGAAATCATGTGAAATCTTAACGTTTACAGTCAATGAGAATCTGACAGGAGAGAATGCGAGAAGTGGCAGAATGCAATGGGAATGGTGAAGTCAGGCCATGTGCAAGGGAAGCTTCGACTTTCCACGTTGCGCGAAAAGGCCAGCACGGGAAACGGCCGTCAGCGTACATTCGAGTCTAAGGCACATGCCCAGCAGCCGTGCCAGGTGTTGAAGATCTCCACCTAGCGAGGCGACGAGAGGCGAAGCCACGCCGCCAAATGCAACTATTTCAACATGGAAGTGCTGAAGTACGGAACACCCGCAAGCCCGGGGAGGGTGAAAGCGCCAGCAATTGCTCGAAAGATGAAGACTGTTTCACAGAAGCACGGAGTCCTTCGACCAAAAACCTCAATTGATATTCTATCTGGCGGAGGTCCAGCACTGTCGAGAAACGGAGGTCAACAAAGGCAAACCCTGTCAGCGCACACCTTTGCAGTCCCGGAGACATCCAGAAGAAAATGAGTGCTTCGAACAACAGAATAATGAACGTTAAAAAAAACAACAATCGACCGCAGGGAAAATTCAGCAGCTGAATTAAATTCCGTGCTGCAGGCTCAGTGGCTCAAGACTGCAGAACTCAGAATCTGGCTGTGCTCAAGGGGCCATCTTCCTGATTGCGACCGCCAAAGGCATACAGCCTCAGGGTGGGCTATATGCCAGATAGCTAGCGCATTTCAAAGCATGGGATACCCGCCTTGTCCAATGCCAATCCAAACTTGCCATTGAAAAAATCTTTCGTACAGGCATCATTTGTTGTCGATCCCCGATTCTCTCGAGCAAATTCACTTTACTACTGCTATCATTCGCGTGGACCAGCTTAACTCTAATTGGGTCCGTGACAAAAGGCGTAGAAGGCCTTACCTCTCTTGGGAAGAAACGGTCATTTCTACTCATGCTGACGATGCTGTGCGAAGCGTCACCGAGAAGCCTCTTCCGCACTGGCTCAACTTAGATGTCCAAGGAATTAAGAAGCAAATTGAGCCTACCAAAGCTGCTAGGGGTCAATTTCAGTGCCTTCTCAACTACTTTAAGCAACTTCGTCAAGTAATTGCTCGACACTCCGTTTTCAGCGAGCAATCTGCAGGGTTGTCGCACATTCATAGGCCTGTTTGGGGTGAGTCGTTTCCGTCGTGCTTCCTGTGCTCGACAGGCATCAACTTCATCCATCAGCGCAACAAAATCTTGCGCACTTGCAGAAAGCCCCAGCTTTTGCCTGCTGACACCTGTAGCCTGTGGCTTCGTGAAGCTGAAGCTATCATTGTTGGTCTTGAAACCATTCTAAGTAAGTTCTGAGATTGGCCAAAGCGCCACCAGGCTCGTTCGACTCGCTTCTCTGACCGACAGATGTCCGTGAATAAGCATGGGATACAGAAGGAACTGAAGCAACTCCACTCATTTCAGAGTCCAGCTCAGCTCAAAATTGCTCGGGATTCGGCGTGTTCAACCGTCGAGTACAAACGACTAAGCACAACCATCTAAGCACCTGGCATGTTGGGCAAGAGGCCATCGAAGCGCAGGAAGGGGCTGATGGCCTTTCTGATAGTTTTAGTCGTCAAAATTCTTCGGAGTGGTTCTCTTCATGACCAAGCAGCCTCCACATATAAAAAGGGTGGGAGTGCCCTTCGCCGCCGTAACGGTGCACCCACATCGGAGGTGCTTCCAATCCGCCTCTCCATATCAGAAATCCCGTCACTCTAACTCGCACTCTGGTTCAACAAACCTCAAGCTCTGGAGAGTTTACGTGTCAGCTGTGGAGATCAGCGAATACCACTGCACCAAACGACGATCTCACATTCACTGAGGCGGAACCTGTCATCCAGAATCAACTGACCTCATGCGATGTGCAAGGAATCTAGGTAAATTGTCAGTGGTCTTGTGCAGTCAACCTACAGTTTGGCATCTGCAAAGCACCGGAGATCACCGGCCACCCCGCGACCTCCTGGGTCAAAATGGCCAAGGGGCAGAGAGCTGCGCAGGCGAATTCATCGACCCACTTCGAGGTCGAGGCCTCCAGCATGCAGCGCTTGTGCTTGAAAGCAAAAGCTGAAGCAAAAGGCTCTGCTTTCTCTCTCAACCTCTACAACCTTGACCTCTTGGCAATCTCGGCAGCCGAGCCCTTGCTTTCGACGAGACTGCCGCAGGGCTAGCATCCATGGGCACCTTTCAGACAAACGGAACGTGACATGCCTCAGATGGATACTTTCAGCAATGAACCTGCAGAAGTAGAAACAGGGCACAACCGAAGATATCGTACATATACACAGTTGATGCTCCTCCGAGATCTGTTGTTTTAACCCACAGATGGGGCTTAGTTGAACTCTGAACCTGTTTGCGCAAGATGCATGTGTGGAAACGGGGGGCACATAGCCCTGCGAGGTAAGATTACTGTGGGTTCGCGCTCGTGATGCTTGTAGTTGTTCTATTGCGACCGGTGCCACGGTCACCATGAGCCTCTCATCATGCTACCACCTGTTGCTGTTGGACTTGACGATGGAAGTGGGCAACCCCGCAGCCTGACCGCGCAGCACGAAAGCTACGGGGAGGCAAGTGGCAGCTGTGTATTGCAAAAGCGTGCAGATGCAGGCTTTTGAGGTTCTAGGTTCGGCAAGCAACATCTCCTTTTAGGATATGTTGGGCTTGGCAACCAAACATCTCCCTGCAGGGTTTTGGGTTCGGCCACCAACATCTGGGGGACCACCTGATTCTCTGATCAACCAGGTATTCTCGACGAGGAGGGTCGCCCCCACCCGGCTCCAGGGATCACTACAACATGCAGCAGAGCCGCTACCATTCGGCAACAGAAACCGCAGCGTACATCTGCACAACTGAAGACGACAGCATTGCCTAAGCTTTTGAACAGCATTTTTTCAGAGTTATTTATGTCTCTTGCGTTGAGGAACGAGCTTTGCCCTGCGTCATCCAGCGCAGGCTTAGGGTTTATGAACCAGATCGCAAGACAGCATGCAAGGAGCACTGCGTCATTCACATTCGCTGACTGGGACCAGAAAAAATTTTGGTGGCCGAACCCACAACTTTGAAAGGAGATGTTGTTGCCAAACCCGGTGTTTGCCAACCTGGCAGGGAGGACACAAGGCTCTCGCAGTCGTCGCGCAAATCACAACCCCAGACACGTCCGCGCCTGGAAGCCTTTGGCACCGGCCAAAGCTCCCAAGCCAAGCTTGAATTGGATTCGAGGCGCGCCCAGCAAAACCATACAAGAAGTCCGCGCAACAGGACAACATGCTACGCACAAAACATGCAATCTACTTGCCATCGAATCGCCACAACAGCAGCTCTGAGCGACTGGCACTTTTTCTCGAATCACACTGCAAAGTTCTTCCCATTTCTCTCAACTAGCCAAGATTTCTGGCCAGATGCTATGCATGTGAAACAAAGACTCGCAAGCATTTGGCAACATGCCGCGGTCGCTTTCTTTTTATAATATGTTTATACATCCTAATTTCGCTTCAGCCCCCTGATGTGAATTTGGTCTGTCAAGTACTATAACCACTATCTGCACCTAAACACTGCCCATGTTTCTCTTTCCTGCAGAGGACTAGGAAATTGTTATTTCGTTGTTTCGTGTCTTTTGGTATGGGGGTTCTTGTGGTGCCTTTGCTGAGGGCTCTCCTGCGTGTTTGCTCAATATTTAGGAGACCTTCTGCCGAATTTTCTGTCCTTCCTGTAGAGTCAGGGTTTGTCAAATTTCGCTGTCGATCACGCTCTTCTTCCACACAGCCAAACTGCAGAGCGCGCACACTTGCAAAGATTTCGTTGTCCGGAAAGCATCAGCCAAGCAATACAACTAGTAAGTACATTGCCAGCTCCCTTCCGATTGAACACTCACCTAGCTGCCGGAGTGACCTTCCGCTGAACCCTGAACCCTTGGCTCGAGAGGATGCCCTAGAACCTCCGCAAGCGTTAGTTTGGGTCCCCCTTCAGTGCACAGCTTGCGTTGCTAGCGGAGTGCCCACCTGCCCGTGCGATAAGTCAGGGAACATACACCGTGCCCTGGTCTTTCTCTATCCGTCGCTCCCTCCCTCTGCCTTTGCTTTGCGTTGCTAAGGGGAAAAAGGAGCTGGCAGTCCCAGCCCCCGCTCCGAAGAGCGACCCCATTCAGCATTTTGCGTGGACGGGCTCAGGGACAAAGGGTGAAACCCCTATGCCCTCGGGCGCATGCACCCCTTCCTGTTGTGGGTGCCACGAAACAGAAAGCAACGGAGGCAATCTGCGGGTCTCCAGGAATCAATTTGAATGTACGATAGTTCACTAGTGGCCCTCTCTCTCTCTGTCTCCTGGGCTTGAGGGCCTGTCAAAACCCCCGGGCGTCAAGCCCACCCGATGTGTTTTCGGGTCAAGGGGTGTGACAAACGAGTGTAGGCCAGAATACGGCTAGGGGCCCTCGCTCTCTCTCTCTCTCTGTCTCTCTCTATCTCCCTTGCAATCTCTTTCTGTCTCTCTCTCTCTCTCGCTCTCTTGCTTGCTTGCTTGCCGTGGGTATGGGTGCACGACACTGTCCGCGGCGGCTCTCTCTCTCTCTCTCTCGCTTTGCTTTGCATCAGGGCATGCGAGGCAGGACCCCCCGCTCGTCCGAGCGACCCCATCCCGTCATTTTGGCAGAAGCTGTACTTTCGGATTGTAGCAAAAGCGGGTGCCCCTTCTCCACAGCAACATGTTCGGATATCCAACGCAGGACAGTCTGCTTTCCCTAGTTTGGGCTGGTGCCCTCTGTGCTTACTTTGGGCCAGTGCCCTCCTACTTGAAACCCACCTTACCTACCTGAGCCTGCCTGCGTCCGCCTTATCCCTGCGCACTGACTCTGACCTTCCGCTCGACCCTGAAGCCTGGACTACTTTCAGCGTGTGCCTCTCGCCAGGGTCGGTCAGGCAACGTACAGAAGTATCTCCCCCGCACAAGCAGAAGGTTCTCGCTCTCTTTGTCTCTGCTTTGCTTAAACGGAGCACAGGCAATCCCTGTACCCTGCTCGGTCGGGCGGGCCTCTCTCTTTCTTTCTTCTGCCGGGCTTAGGGGTCGGTTGGCCGACCCTCAGGCGTTGCGCCCGCCCGTCCCCCACACTGTGTTAGTGAGTGGACGGCTTTGGGGTAGTCCAGAATATGGCAATGTACAACGAAATATGCCCCGAGTTGAAAACAGGAAAGCCTCCCCGAACACTAAACACGTACACAACCCCCGCCTCATCACCGCGCCCCTACGGCACTATCCTTAGTCTGTAGCTGGTTCGGGGGGGCCTGAAAAAGTGCCGGTCGAATTGTTGCTCCCCTCGCCCGAAGCGGAAGGGAGCGCTGAATTGCGGTAAAGAGGCGGATCAGACTTCGTCGTGAGACGGCGGTGCAGTGAATTGGCAGAAAACGGAGTGAAGCTGCCATGTGCTGGCAGTGGTGGCTGAAAGACTGGTTTATGCTACGAGTACAATAAGTACAAAGCACATGCATTCCCCCGGCAGGGCTGGTTATGAAGGAAATCCCCCATTAAGTGGGGCGGGGCTCAGCAAAACAGGGCGCAGTGGAAGAGAGGAGGGCATCTGAAGCCGGCGAAACCAAAGCAGAACACCCCGCAAAACAGTACAACCCTTCTCTCCCCTCTGTCACTCATGGCTCGGACACGGAAGGGTTCCCCTCTTTTGGAGAACTCAGGTTGCGTCACGCACTCGAAAACAAATGGAAAACTTCCCCACGCTCATTGCTTGTAGGTCACGGTGCGTCTTCTCCCCTCATGTGTGCCTGTAATTGCCGCACTGCTCTCCACATCGGGCCTGGTTGCAGCCTTACTGTCCTTCTCGGGCTGCGGCTTGGTGTTCTCGGCCTCGTCTCCCCAGCTGTGCTGGAACTTGCCGCCCCCCTCCTGGTCTGTTCTACCCGTGGTTGTGGAGCTGTGTCGTCGTCTCCATGGTTGTCGTCATTTCCCCCGGCTGATTCTTCACGGCCAGGTCGTTGTATCTTCATCCGCCATGGTGGCTCGCCTTCTGGTTCGTTGGGCTTGTGCCACCCTGGCACTTGGGGCAGCTCGCTGGAGCTTCTCTCCCCCTCCGCTGTGGTGTTGTCATCTTCCTCCGCGTTTGGCGTGTCATTCCCCCAGTCCACTTCGTCGTTGAGCTCTGGCTGCTGCTGTGGTACATGTTCTTGCGCATCATCCTCGGTCTTTGTGGTGCTCGGGGCTTTGCGGCTTTTCGCCCCCTCCTTTCTCGCATCTGCCGGCTCCCCCGGCTGGCTTGGCTTTCTTGTTGTAGTCGCCCTCGAGGCACTCCCCCGTGACCGGGAGCGTGTCTGCCGCGCCTTTATCGAACGGCGTATGCGGCGGGCCTTGCGCAAGAGGCTCTTGATCTCCCCCGGGAAGCGGATCATGTAGGCACGCGTTTCTTGAGCAACTTCCGGGAGATATTTATCCGCGATTTTTGCTAGCTTGTCGGCTTGTCGGGCTGTGCGGCATCTGGCCTGGTGTCTCCTGTGGAACTGCTCATACTCTTCATTCTCCCCTCTTGTCAGAGGTTGCCCCGTAGGGCTGTGGCACCATCCCCCGCTTTCTGGGTTTTTGACCACGTCATACTTCGCCCACTTGTCAAGCGGCCCTGGTAGGTATTGTAGTGCAATCCCCCCAGGACTCGCTCTCTCTCTTTCTCTCTTTCTTTCACCAGGGCTGTGCAGCGGTCCTGGGGCTAGTCCAAATAGATATCCTGATGGAGCAACCAATGTCAAAGGCGGTGCGACAATTAACACACATCAGGATTGCCCACAAGAAAAGATGCAGATCGAAAACTCTCACGTGGCATCTCGCCTTCTCATTTCGCCCTGAGTTTCCTTGATCAATGCTGCAAGTGTTCATGGACTGCTGCGACGGACCTTCAGCTCCCATCAGCCAGGAATTAACACGGAAGTTTCCTCCACCTGAGCCCGGCAGGAGGGACCTTCAGGAGCGAAGATGCAAGCACTTGACCCAAAGTCCGACGCTTTCTTTCGCGAACTCTCTCTCTCTCTCTCTCTCTCTTTCTTTCTTTCGTCA